AGCTTACAGCAGTGTCACCTCATGTCACCATCGTCATGTGACTACACCATCCCGTCAGGCGATGCTAGAATTGTATAAATACAATTACCAGTAAAACGCCTTTTGGGCGAAGAACGAGCGAGCGAGAGAGTGAGCCCTGCACGTGCAGAAGGGCGAGAGGGTACTTCCAACGGGCTTGTGCAAAGCACCCTTCTAACCGGTCGCTAGCGGTGTACCAAATTTGAACGCAATCGGCCCAGCCGTTCCTGAGATCTGGAAGCGGCACTCTGCACGTGCGCACGTGCAAACGGGGTCCAAAATGACTTTTGCACGGCACCCTACTAAACGGTCCCCAACCGTGTACCAAATTTGAGCGCAATCGGCCCAGCCGTTCTCGAGATCTGGAAACGCCCCCTGCACGTGCGCACGTGCAGTAGCACCCTAACCGCAACACATGGGAATGCATTGCCTGGTAGGTGCCTACCTGTATGCCAAGTTTCAGCGAAATCGCCCCAGTAATTAACGAGTTACTGAAATGGCAACAAATTTGGCACCTCTTATTGTTGTATTTTGCACGTGCAGTGGGGGTCACTCACATAGATGAAGAGTATCCGACCTTTGGTAGAAGGGATGCAGCTACCCTATAAAAATGACCGCAAGACAATCGCTCAAGCCGCTGCTGAGATATGGGCCTCTCAAAATCATTACGTTTGCAAAACTGCTTAAACACCCTTGACTTTTCACGTGGCACGTGCCACGGCGGTCACTGAGATGTATCAAAAGTAGTCAATTACGGGGTAGAAGGGATGGGGCTACCCAACAAAAAAGACCGCAGGCCATTCGGTCCAGCGGTTGCTGAGATATAAGCCTCTCAAAAGCGTTACAGGCCGGGCCGGGCCGGGCCGCTCATACTGAGATTTTCCCGTTATATTGAAAAGACTTCGCTTCGCTCGCTGCGCTCGCTCGCTCGTAATAATACCATGTGCATATAACAAGGACCAGAGTCCAGACAGCCCAATAACAATCACATGTTTCGCATGTGGTCGTCCCAATCACATGGCGCGGTCCACATGGCCTTAACCCGCGCACCGACGGGGGTCTGCGCCAACTTCGCACCGACGGGGGGGGGGGGCGGAACCGCCCCCCCCCCTGAGATCTCGAGAACGAAGCAAGATAGCGACAAGCGGTAAACGGCATCGGATACGCACGGCCAAGATCTACAATTTTTACTAAGGTCATTTTCAGGTCAGATCAAAGATGACGTCACAGGGGTCGAAAAAGTCAAAATGGCGGCGCTAGATATGGAGAGAGTTTTTCTCGAATAACTTTCGAATTAGTCAAGATAGGAACAAACTAAGGACATCATCGTGATCCTCTCGTCAATCCGCATCGAATGATATATATGTTGACCTCGAAAGGTCAAGGTCAAAGGTTGACCTCAGGTCACGTGACCTCGAGGTCATCATGTATATCATTCGATGCGTCTTGACGAGCTGAACACAATGAGACCATCCACGCGTCTGTATCTTGTTCCTGTACGGAGTCATTGGCCAAAAACCTTTGGTGACCTTTGATGACGTCACATGACCTCACAGCTGCCCAACAGCAAAACAGACCTCAAGGTAGTGAAGGTTGATCGTATATGAAGTCATGTATGGTATATGGGGCCATTCCGACCCGTTTTAGTGGTAAAAACAGGGAGTTGATTTTTCCCCCATTGACTTATAATGGGGAGGTCGCGAAATTGACCTGACCTTAGGTCACCGATATCAAAATTCCGAGATATACAAATTGTAGCTACTAATGACCTAATAATATCCTGCGACTTTCAAAGGCCTCCGACATCTACTATAGCTCTGGCACGGTGACAAAGTTGCAAAAAAGTGACTTGAGGTTGGGTCATTCAAAGTGACCTGGTGACCTGACCTTAAAAGTAAGGAGGTTCAAACTTGCACACCATGTGTAAAATTGATGAGGTTATAGTCATACCAAATTTCGCGGCGCTACGCGACGCGGTTTTCCCGCTATTCGCGAAAAACCTCAGGGGGGCGGATATCCGCCCCCCCCCCCGTCGGTGCGAGGGTTAATCCAGCAGACACTGTGATTGTTTGAGCCTCGGATGAGGCCCTCGGTGAAGATCCGACGGCGGAAGCTGTGTGTGTTGAACGAGGAGTCGCCGGCCGCTTGAGATCATAAATGAGCGACGACGCCGGTGGCCATGATTGTCGGAAGTTTCAGAAGAGGCCTTTAGTTTCAGAAGAGCGCGCTGATGGTAGGTAAATGAATAAATTGCACTAGACCTACGTTAAACCTGCCGAAAAGTTACGTTATTCATCGCCACTTAGCGCTCGACTACATCTATGTATATAATTAGAGCTATGTAGCTTTTATCCGCAAAAAAATGCACCACCTTTCATGCCTTGCTGCTTGTCTTCTCACTTTGAATATCAAGAAACTTCCCAAAAAGGGCTTCCTGTTCTATGCACTGCCTAAAAATGCTTATTAGTGTCATTTAACATCTGCACAAACCTTTAAGAACGTTCAAAAAGTTCAACACTGTTCAACTTTTTGGCGACCTCACCAACCGACCAACATGGGGAGCAAACTTTCAAAACCTTACAAATGCCTCCACCCGAAAACACGTGTCAAATACCCGGTTCCCACCACCACCGGCAGAGATCGTAAAAATGCATGCTGTGGTTTTGCCGATCTTGCCAGTTTTCTCCCGTTATTTTACTTTACGATGTTGAACGGTCGTAGTGGGAACGCGGCTAAGGAAAGACTACGCTCGCTTCGCTCGCTCCGTATTGAATGTTTTTAAGAGACAATGCATATTGCAGGGAAGGTTGAAAAATAATAACGCTAGAATATTAGATAATAAAATAAACATACACATTTGACTTGTGTAAAAAACTCAAGTCTGATCCAAAGTACAAGCTTGCCTATACAATGCTAATCAATTTCATACAATATGGTTTTTCTCGTAGATCTGGATTTATTTGTTACGGAGCGAGCGAAGCGAGCGTAGTCTTTCTTATGTTTCTCGTAGATTACTCGTAACGGAATTTCTGAGTAACTATGAGCGGCCGGCCGCGCGGACGCTTTTGCGAGGCTTGTATCTCAGCGACCACTTGACCGATTTAGATGCGGTACTTTTTGTAGGGTAGCTTCATTCCTTCTACCAAGTATTGGACTATTTCCAATGCATGTGGGTGACCCTTTATGCACGTGCCACGTGCAAAACGAAGAGGTGTCAGTTTTGTGACAATTGCAATATCTCGGTAACTACTGGGCCGATTGCGCTGAAACTTGGCATGTAGGTAGGCACCCACTAGGCAATACGTATCCATGTGCCACAGTTGGGGTGCTGCTGCACGTGCGCACGTGCAGGGGTCGATTCCAGATCTCGAGAACGGCTGGACCGATTGCGCTGAAATTTGGTACGGGGCTAGTTACCGGTTAGTAGGGTTCCGTGCAAAAGTCAGTTGGGAGCCATTCTTGCACGTGCGCACGTGCAGGGTGCCGCTTCCAGATTTTGAGAACGGCTGGGCCGATTACGCTCAAATTTGGCACATCGCTAGAAACCGGTTAGTAGGATGCAGTCAGCAGTGCACAAGTTAGTTGGAGGTAGCCCCTCGCAACTTCGCACGTGCAAGGCCCACCCTCTCGCTCGCTCCGTTGATCCCCCCAAAAGGCGTTTTACTGGTGTGGATATATTCGTGTTCCGTGGCTCATCGGTCTATGAGCCAATGTTCCCAATCCCAGGAAAAGCACCCTTTATAGTTAATTAGAAAATGGATTACAAGCTTAATGTCCATATAGTGATGCCGGGGGCCTGGCCCGGGCTATCAATGTAGTTATATTTTTGTGCGGACATGGTCACTAATATTCTGTCGGCGTATTATTCCTCGTCCTGTGTGTTGCGCATACCGCCCTGGCTGCGCTGTATTCCTACATCCGTAGACGGCAGTTGGCAGCGTGCGCCACCACCTTCCCACAGGCGTCCTCCGCTATCTCCTCTGGCGCTACCGCGGTCAGCAGCGTGACGTCCTGCGCGGCGTCCGCCGCCCGCCCTTTGCTAGCATTACTCTCGGCAGTGGTGACGGCTGAGAGCTGGCCAAGACAGCCTGTGAGAGCTCCAGGCATGTCTGCGGGTCGTCTAACTGATCAGGCAAGTATAGACCCAGGATTCGGCCCGCATGGTTGTAGCGGAGATACTCATCGGACTGGAATAGCCCGTTTTGCCATTGCTGGCGACTTCCTTCTCCTAGTATAAGGGTCATGTAGCCAAGGAATCGTTAAAAAGTCACATTGTCATGAAATCTAAACGAAATCATGCCAATTCATTTCTGATATTTTTTTTAAAGGATGACTGACTCCATGATGTAACATTAATTATTGCCTATTAAGCAGGTGCAATTTCCAATCGGCAGGCTCTGGTCTCGAGGGGCACAGCTCCAGCCAGTCCGCTGATGACCAGTTAGATAGGTCCTGCTGGCAGTTTTATTAAAATTCGCGGTGAAGGAGACCTTGAGCTACTAGGTTTCGCTCCTTAGGGGATATTGTCTTTGTTTTGCGTCCTCCTTATTTTTCCTTTTTGATGTCCCCGATACCATGCCAAGTTGAATTGATGTTTAATTCATGATGGCTCATGCGTGCCAAGAGCTGATTCCACGTGTCTTAATAAAAGTAAATTATTTATGCAGTTGTAGTGGGTTTGGGGCTCGAGACTCGGGTACTGTCCCGGATCTAATTGGATATTCGGGATCGGGTCGAAATAAGCGTTTGAAAATAGTTTATAGAATGCCTGTCCCCTATAGGTACGTACAGGTGGTTGTGGCTGATGGCCAAAACAGTCATTTAACGTAACGTAAAGCTTTTTCAGCACGCATATAATTCCGCTACTCCTTCCTGAATATCTATACCTCTTAGTTATAGAAATCAATGTTTAGAGTGGTGTTTACTGTTACTCAATGCGACGGATGTTCCTAATATGGCACATGTTCAATGTTCATCTGCAGGCTATGCCAATGAAGTTGGCGAAGCATTCAGAGTGTGGGTATCACCATTCTGGGTGAGAGCATCCTATGGATTGTCCAGTGCCTATGTCTTGGCAGACACCTTTGATAAAGGAATTAAAGCAGCCAAGGTAAGTGATGTTTGGAATTGTGTGTTTGCTTGTCACAATTTACACCGCCAAGATATTGTGAATGGTTTTCATCCTACCTTTTTATAAATACGGTATTTGGATCTCTCAGTCAATTCTGTGGTGCTTTGTGCGCGGTGTGCGGTGTTGAGATGTCCTAGATTGCTATGTTGGCTGCTACCAGTGCCACCTAACAGTCGCCCGCCGCCCGCTCCGGCAGCGTCCTCTGGCGTCGGAGGCGGACCGGCGCACACACGTGCTGCACGTGTCGGTGGACACGCTGCTCTGGCAGGCGCTGGCCTCCGTCATCGTGCCCGGCTTCACCATCAACCGGGTGTGCGCGGCCACCTTCTGGGCTCTGGGGCGCGGCTCGCGGCTGCCGCTGGCCGCCCGCAAGCGGCTCACCACGGCCGCCGGCCTGGCGGTGATACCGCTGATCGTGCGGCCCATCGACGTCCTGGTGGACGCCACGCTTGACCGCACCTACCGCAAGGTGGCCCACGTGGAGCCCGACGAGCGCAGCCGGGGACACTGACGGCCCGGCCGCGCCGTCCGGCGGGGCGATAGCGTAGATATGTTATTAGGTTCCTTCTGCGATCGATGCTGATAGAGTTGGTGATTTTGGAATCATGTAGATGAAGATTTAGATAGTTCCTTTGGTTTATTGCTTTACCCTAGTTTGTTAGTGTTGAAAACAAAGCACATGGAACACATGAGATGTGAAAGGAGTCATGCGATGGGGTTGTTGTACAGCTTTGGTAGCTCTTTAAATACTGCATGAACGATTTGACATGGTTAATTACTGACCATTGCACAAAATGCATTCGACACTTTTTGGGGTTCTTGGGGACTGGCCAGCTCATCGAGCTTTTTTCATCATTTCCCCCCCCCCCCCATAATCTGTTTTATAGCCTGGTACGTAAGGTGTGTACCTCAGCCAGACGCAGGTTATGATAAAGCAATGTTACGTGCTTGGAGTCTGCTCAATAGTACCCCATAGCAATAGCTGTATGACCAGGGTAAAACAACTGTGATGTCCAGAGTATTACAACCTACCGAAGGGTCTCGCATCATCTGACTATTCAGTGGCTTTAAGTCAACTATGTAACTTGATTATGTCCATTTTTAATGCACATGCGATCATAAGCAGTTATGCCATTGCCTAATGTGGATGGCAGGTCATTTTCCCATTGTAAGAACTTAACTGCCATTGCTACGCTCCCGTCATGCCTAATGGTAGGTAACCCACGGGGAAAGTGAACCATACACTCTGTAACTCTGTTACATTGCCTTTATTATTATTCATTATCTTATTATTAGGTATTACATTTTCGAAATATTGTTTACTCACAGGCCACTAATGTGGACATGATACCCATCCAATGGGTTGATGTTTCCGCTACATTCTGAAGCGTATGGCGTGCCTGCAAACGTATGCTATAGTATATGCTCTAGCTACACCACCATCATTTTCTGACTCCGAGACCCGCAGGCCGCAGTATGCTGCATTCTTACGTAAAAGTCATAGTTGAAGATTATGCATTCGTCTTCCTGCCTGGTGAAACGATCTGTTTCTTCAGTTATTGATTGTACGCTGCATGAGGTAATATCCGCTACGTGACTGACTTGTTGACTTAGCGACGCTGTTTACATCTGACGTTTTTATATTGACTTTATTGCTGTAATTTTCTGACCTCAGCCGACGAGCAATAAAATAGTTATATTGCTCCGTATTCGTATGATAAATGGGTATTAACCCGCGCGGGGCTGGGGTCTCCAGCCGAACGCGCGGGGCTGGGGGGGGGGGGGGTAAATTTTACCCCCCCCCCCTGTTATCTCCCGAACTAATGGTCCGATTTGGAAAATTCAAACGCCAATCGAAAGCTCTCATCACGAACTACTAAAAACATGTACTTAATTTAAAGTTTGAGGTCAAGGTCAAGGTCAGGTCAAGGGTACAAATTGCAAGTTTCTACAGTATCGGCCTTGCACCGTAGTTGCCGAAGAATGGAGTCATGGACTGAGACTGATCGCCCAAAACGTGTTCTTAGGCAACCAAGACAATATTAGTTGCATACAATATCATTCAGAGGTCAAGGTCAAGGTCAGGTCAGGTCAGGTCAGGTCACCAAAAAACAAAATATAGAAAAGGGCATGTGCGACACATGTTTTATGGGTCATTTTACTCATAGAATTCAATAGGCACACTCAATAAGTGATATGGACCACCTCTGGATGAATTTCAGGTCGAGGTCAGGTCAAGGTCAGGTCAAGTGAGGTCAAATTTTGAAGTTGGTTGTTAAGGCCTAAAAAGGTGTCTATCTGATGCAGTTTTTCACGACGAATCGAATGGTGCTATTTTTGTTTCCGTACGAGGTCTAGAACTTCCAAAAAAGTCATTTTTTTCAAAAATTTTGTGTGTCGTGACGTCATAAAATTTTGAATAACTCCCACATTTTTGAACCGATTCTTCTTCTAAAACTTGGTATGTAGGTGCACATAGACCACTTCTCTGACATATATTCCGGTTTTTTCGATAGACTCAAAATTTTGGATTTTATAATGATTTTCCCAAAAAAATCAGTTTTTGAAAAAAATTTAGGCCAAAATCCAAAATTTTCAAAAAACCGAGATAGCCATTTGATAGACAATGTAAAATAACGTATAACCTTTTTTGTTACGTCTTGATTCCTTTAAAAATGAAGATGTTAGCGGCGTTTGAACTTTTGCCGTTTTTGAGGCGAAAATGGCGAACATGACGTCACTAAAACGTCAATATCTCAAAAATTTTCCGACGGATTTCGCTCAAATTTTCAGGGAAGGTGTCAAATTGATGTAAGAAAAGGTACTGAAAGTTTGGCGGCGCTGCGCGCCGCCGTTTTTGAGATATCGCAAAAATTCGCGAGGGGGGGTAAAATTTACCCCCCCAGCCCCGCGCGGGTTAATACACACCACTGGCGGTGTTTTCGCAGAGTCCGTTTGTTGCTCGCGTGCTTCCGACTGTTAAAAGGCGTAAACGCTTGGTGGTTAGAGACACTGGTCAATGATCATCGAGTTAGCAGTGGCCGTCACGTTATTGCTCAGCACTGTCAATGGCGGCCGCCCATCTTTACTTTTGTTCGCTGTTACGTGCCGAGTCTGAACGCTGTTGTCTGTTGCGTGCCGGTCCCGTTTGCCCATTGTTGTCCGTTTTTGTGGTTGCGATTAACTGTCCCTGTTGTTCATCTGATGATTCCCCGTTGTTGAGTGTAAGTTGTTCTGACGTCTGTGCTCAGTGGAACACCCCGGAGTGAAACAACACTATATACCCCGGAGTGAAACAACAGTGCTATTTGACGAGGCATGCAGGTTTTTATGGCAATAAACGATGCCTTACTTTGTGGATTGTCGTTTGGCGAGTGTACTTCCCTGACTCGACAAGGTTGTTAGACGTTCATGTAGTACGTTCTTTTAAACTCGGCGAATATTTATTTACTTATTATTTATTCATTTATTTTTGCATCGAGTGAATATTAGACTAATATTTACAGGTGGTACAAATGGACATCCAACATCTGGGATTTCACCCCAGTATGCATCTAATAACGCCGCGCTTTTCACACCTCGCTCATGCTAACCGCTCATAGCGCACCGCTACCCGCTAGAACGGACCACCACCACTTTCTTTAGCGCAACACCACCAGTCAGCTGCAGATTAGCATGCTGCTAATCGGATTACCTCACGCAGTCAGACTGTGCAGAATGCACAGTTGGTTGTTGGTGCCTCATGACCAGCATTAGCGTTGCAGGAACAGTTGCATCGTTCGCTCTGCGGTCCTCCTCGAGAGCAGTGGCGCCGCCTGGATTATTCAGCTCGTGGAGTGGCTAGGACGGATCCCGTCAGCGGCGCTGCCCAGATTGGCCTCAGCAACTAACGCCACCTAGATCCGCCCGATGCCATTCAGTGTTCACAGCTCGTCACGCTCGGCCCGGGCAGGCCGCACGCGGCGGGTACCAGTCGTCCTCCATCCCTCCTCGAGCGCCAGGCCGTGCCAGAACTGCATCCTCTCGCTGAAGGCGCGCGCGCCGGGGGCCGGCCGCAGAGAGAGTCGCATGTGGTTGTCGCGCGCGGCGCTGTAGGGCTCCCACTCGGGCATCGGGATCAGGTCGGTGGTGGGCCGGCCCGTCTTCGCGAAGTTGGCCCAGATGTTTGTGAGCGCTCGCCCGAACTGGCGGTCCACCGGGTCCACGGGGAACGTCTCCCCAGTGAACAGGAAGCGGATGTCGTCAAAGTGACAAGTGCCTGGAAATGATTATCATGGAGTGAGTCACTGTGAGCCGACCTACTCGCATTTATGGGAGTTTAAATACTTTGAGATGAAATAAGAGGCATCGATAACATTATCGTGGAAACCGGTCGTAGTCTAAGCGAACTTCTTAAATGTACAAAATAACCACATTCAAATGCAATTGTTTTTACCTGACCTCGAAATGACCGAGCTGGCCGTGGTTTTATGGATCAAATGACCATCACAAACAAACTTCTATAGAATAGACATCGCATTGCATCACACAACCCAAAAGTAGATGTGAGGCACGCTGACCTTTATAAACCCCATTTTTATGACCAAACTGAGCATGCCATAAATGTCATAATTGCCCAATGCCCATGTGGTTCCCTTCGGTACAGCATTTCCAACAATAAGAGTCCGATAAAACATCTAAAGGAAACGATCTTCAGAACTACACTTTTATAGTTTATGATGCATGGCAAAGAGCTGGGTACCCTATAATTGTCTCTTTAATGAAATCTGGCATCGGCATGTTGGCGTGTGATAGATGATATGTTGATGTTTGAGCTAAAGCACAAAGTTGTTGAGCTATTTTTTTTTAGAATTTAAACAATCCACCGTTGCCTATCTAGCTCAGTCCGCCTATCCTAGTCACCCCTCTGCCTTATCAAATTGCATGAGGTCGTATTTATGACAGTGCTCATGTTTACGACGTTCTTCGCTGCACCAAGTGCGACTGTGACTGCCGGTTAATCTCCCTCACCCCAGGTCAGGTGGTGCAGCTCCTTGTTGCCCATCTTTCCCGCCACGATTGCTGGCGTAGCGATGCTGGGAGGCTGTTCGATGACGTACTTGTAAACGGGCGCCAGGCCGACCTCGGCGTGGGCCTTCACGGCCGCGTCCACTCCCGTCACAAAGTAGCGGTCCCCCTCCACCTGAGGGCGAGTTCCGTCAGAGGAGAGACCTTCCACGTAGAGGCCAGGTCAGCTGCTGTCAGAACTCTGGGTACCTGATCATACACTACTGACTACACCACAAAGCTCTGCTCCGTACACTGGCGTACACTTGTACAGAGATGTTCATGATTGATGACACTCATTGCTCACCTTGTTGAACTGGTGGATGCTGGTGAGCCCTGGCTCTTGGTCTCCGAAGTAGAACTCTTTAATCTGACGATAGATGTCGCCCGGGTCGGCAGCCGTGCTCTCCATTCCCAGCCAGATGGGACCCGCCTCGTCCGGCTTGTTCCGCAGCTCCTCCAGCGCGGTGGCGTTCATCAGATGGACTGGGAACGCAGGCAGAACACGATCTAGGTTATCACTCCGTTCAGGCATTGAATAGTCCAGCCAGCGCAGCACAGTCATGGCAAGGTCTCGTAGAACGGTGCATATAGCTGATGGCCCACCCACTGGCGGATCCAGACAGGCGGTCTTGGACGCTGCCTCCAAAAAGTTTCTTCTCCAAAGTCCGAAAACTCATCGGATTTCGATTACTTACCTACGCACTGCCGTGCAGATTAAAACAATCTTTTCCTAATACAAGTTATTTAGTTTTCCTTTTATTCTCGAAAAAATGCACATTTTTGACGATTTCTGGCGCTGAAGGGGGAGGGAGATACCATTAGACCTCCCCCTGGATCCGCCAGTGGGCCCGCCAGGCCCATTTTCTCGCTCCATTTTGTCATTTTCCATCCTTAGGAGAGACAGTATATTCTCCCCCTCGTCTCTTATCCCTGATCCGGGCTGAACAGTCACCTTCATCCGACATGAGTAACTCCTCAGGAGAAGCTTCACATGGGGTTGGGTGACTTTTTGCGAGGCTGGTCGGCCCGTCCATGACTGACGGGCTCAGCCCCGGCGGAGCACCAGGGTGGCCGCCCAGACCAATGTTTTCCCCTATTTCCTATTATCTTTCCGTCCCTGAAAGGTCTTGTGAGATCGAAAGTTCCTAACCATACACACACACAAAAAAAAAAACATGAGGAACTTTTTGGCGTCCATTGGGTTTGAAAGAGCTGTACCGTAACAGCTCTCTCTTTGTGCTCCGTCGCCCATCCCAACTCGACGTTTTACACAATGACACAATGGGCCAGGTGCCTACAGCTTAAATCGCATATTGTTTTACTATCTTAAAACTTGAGCTCGCCCCGCCGCGTGGTTTGAAGAATCAGCTCGGCCGTCGTCTGTCGAGCCAGTCGTCAAAGCTAGCTATAGCTTGTCAGCTGCCTGTCGATTGTCGACAAAGCCGACTGATTCGCTCAACTGTCATGTCCGCAGCAGTTGGTTCGGAAATTGCTGCGGAGAAGCCGCCTGTCAGTGACCCATCCCGGCTCCTGACGAGTCTGCCAATTCACTGGGTTCTGCGCCTCAACCCTACCACGTTTCCATTTGAAAGGTCCGCATCAATAATATCAATAATTCCGTCGGTCATTGTTCACCGTTCCGGTCAATTTGTGACGGCGCCGGCCGGCTCCGGCAGTCGGTGTTGCCATGATGAGTTCTGTAAGTGAGCCCATATATCTGGCGCTGGGGCGGCGATGGCGGCGCCGGGTGATCTGGGCCGACGCGCCGGGACGGTCCCAGGACGGCGATCCCCGCGGTGGCGAGCCACATCGAGACAAAGCGCTTCATCCAGCCGGACTCGGCCGAGACCGTGTCCGGCCTGACCGATACAAGGCACCCGGATCTCATGAAATGTCAGACAATGCAATAAATAATGGAACAAATGTGACGAGAAGTGAGACAGGCAGGGAGCTTTATCACTGTTTGAGGAAAGCTCAATATACATTTTCAAGAAATATTGGATTGAAAGAAAGATTAATGCCAAAAAGGCATGGGCATGAGTCAAAATTGATGTGGAAATGATTAATAATATGCCGAAAAAATACATTATTTCGTTTAGTATTGCAAAGAGAAATAAAATAGACGAGCTTTCGACAACATTGCAATTATCAGGTCTGCCTGGCAATGTTGTCGAAAGCTAGTCTATTTTTATTTCTCTCTAGTACCCTAAAATATTTTTTTTACAATTTTTGTCATGTTATTGATCATTTTCACATCAATTTTGAATAGCATGTCGATGTCTTCACTCAGGCCAACCATCCAAACCAGTAAAAAAGCATGGACCCATAATCCTCTCGCCTCCTGCTCCTGCACCAATGCTCGTAACCGCAATGCCACTTTATGTAAGTGTCTGCTTCCATCGACCCAGCCGCGGTGCCGATGGCGGAACCGCGCCGCGGACCGCGACATAAATCTCGTCATAGCTGGACCAAAGACCAGGCTATAGATCTCACCCCACGAGCACGTGTCCCACCGGCAGAGGGAGCAGCCGCCTCTGATGGCAGAGGGATCTCACCGCGGAGCCGGTGGAATCGCATTATGGCAGCTCCTGCGGCGCCCCTCGGTCATCCGTTCCGGAGATAAATCGTAGTACTCCGCACGTCTATCGACCAGGGACGACACTCATGAGGGCCTACTATCGTGGAGGACGGGTGGGGCGGGACCGGCCGGAGGCGGGAGCTCAGAGATTGAGGGCAAGGGGGAGCGCAGTCGTTTCTGGAACCTAATGGTGTGGGAAATGGTGTCAATGAGGTTACTGCCCGGGTGGTACTGCGTAGACTATGTATAGCTAGAAAATATCGTGAGGTGGCTACTTTTTTTCTTTCTTTAGAAAATAAGAATAAATCAAATGCCACCCCGCCGTCCGTGTACTCACAGCTGGCGAATGTGCCGCCCTCGTCGCGGTTGACGCCCGTGATCCAGGGCACGGGGCTGAACTCTCCGGCGTCGATCAGCGCGCGCGGGTCGGCCGGCAGGAAGGCGCCCTCCACGCCCGGCTCCACATTCGGCCGGAATGTAAACGTGCCGGGGTAGAGGGACCACAGCTGGACGGAGCGCCGGGCGGGAGACGGCGTCAGTGTTCCACATCGCACAGTGCACATCATGGCACAATAACGGGCAGGGCAGTGGCAAACTCAGTTCCAAATCACTGGTTGATATTGAAAGTGTTGTGACCTCAGACCTGACCAAACAACCCACACCGGACACTTTGAGATATCACGGATAGAGTGAGCGCAAGTTCCAAGAAAGCTGAGTGAGCACTGAGCATCGTAATAAAAACTGGGTCTCCACCACGAAAGCCTGAGTTCGGACTGAGTGTGCCGCTTCTCACCTTGAACGTCCTGTCGGCGGACAGGATCAGGTCCTTGGCGGGCACCTCCCTGAGGCAGTTGACCAGGTCGACGGTGCTGCTGGTGCCGCCGCAGCCCACGGCGGCGGCCAGCCGCTCGGCCAGGTCCCGCTGCGCCACCCCGCTCGCCCAGAACACCAGAGCCGTGGACGACTGCGAGATGGCCCTATGGAATAGACCTGCCGAGACGAGATGGTAATTTTGGCGATCGTCATAGGAGCAATTGATTTACACAAGAGCGGAATAATCAAGACGATGTAAAAGCTCCCGGCTGGCCAGAGTCGCTCACTTAAGCGACTGAACATCCCATGTCTGAATGGTCTCGGCTCTATGAGCTACTTCGAGGTATCATTTGTGGGAAAGACGGCGTTTCTCTTAGCACCATAGTAGCAATGATCATGGTTCCATTGCCACAAGCAGCGCTTCCTATTCGGACCGCCCCTCTTTGGAGGTTTGAATTGGCCATCCTTGCGCCCAGTTTCTGGTCGAGCGGAGATGAGCCGTGCCTGACTGCAGTTAGCTCGGGTCGTGTGTCCGTTCCGTTTAGCAGTGAACTGAGTCTGACCGGGGTGACGGGGCGCGAGTATCTCCCCGCGGAGACGGCAGAGACAAAGGAGACAGGCCGGTGATCGATGCGGCCGCTCGCGGTGACGGCTGGAATCCGCCGCTGGTGGTCGGCGCGTCGGAGCGCTCCCCGGGCGCCGGCGTTTCCGGCTGGCCGCGCGGACTGCGGCGCGCCGGACATCCAGCTAACAAGGCGGCCCACCTTCGCCGTCAGCCCAATCGGCCGCCGGCAGCTCCTCTCGCCGCTAACAGAAATAGGCCTCACATTCCAAAGAAATAATCTCAAATAGTCTTAGCAGAATGTGCGCTCAAACTGTCGATAAAGGAACTTGTAGACGACTGGAAATTAAATCTGGTCTGACATTTAGCGTGAACTTTCGGTCGTAAACCGCGAACGATCTGATTCTGGGACATGTCTTACATCGCTAATTCGTTTGAACTTCATGAATTATTTATTAAATTTTGACCATGGCTACTGTCAGCGTCGTTAACCACTAATGAGTAATGTTATTCACAGCCTTTAAGCTGATGCGGCCAGCCTACAAAATAAAAATGATAAATGTTATAAATATTGCTTTTGATAAAAATGAAATTATCATGTTATATACGTATGACAGGTGTGCTGGCCGGTATAATAACACAGGTAAATAACATATGTAACATAAAAACATAAAATAGCATAAGCAATAAACCAATTAACTGTCATACCTGTCAGTGCTGTGGTGTTACTGCATGTGCGCACGTGCAGTCCCACGCAGTTTCTCCCGTGACCATTGTCAATACCTTGCCTGTTTTTAGTTCCTGATTGCATTATCTATTTCGAAGGTAGCGAAGGTAATTTGAATAAACTTGCCAACAAAGCGGTCTTCCGTTCCGCCGTGAGCGGAAATAATAAGCTAAAAACGGATAGGACGGGAACAAATTGATTGAAAATAATTGAAGCGTGTAGGACATAGGCTATCTACTTTAACAGCAGGCTCCAATATTGGCCAGGAAATCGTGTTAAATCTCGTCTTTTCACTGAATGGAAGTCTTGTTCCGGAGAAATGAAGTAGAAAATGATCATCAGCCTTTGTTTGAAATCGCTCACTCTCGATTAGGCTGGTGGCGCACTATTCTGAAATCACTTTGTCGTCAGATTACATCAGATCTTGGATACGGGATACCGTACCGTTCTTTTTATTTTAGAATGAAGGCATGTAGATACTTTTTGCAGGAGATGGCACTTTTTGTGAAAGGCATGATGAATACAAGTTAACTGAAGCTCTAAGAGAGGAATGTCGGGCTAATATAAGTCGCGTTTTCAGTGCGCTCCACCCACCTCTGGAGAGAGGAGAGATGATCTGGTAGTGCACGGACGCTCCGCCGGCGCTCTCCCCGAAGATGGTGACCCGGTCGGGGTCTCCGCCGAACGCCGCGATGTTATCGTGCACCCACTGGAGGGCCATCTGCTGGTCGTACAGGCCGTAGTTTCCCCAGGAGGAGGAGTCCTCTGTGCTGAGGAAACCTGTCCAACGGAATATGGGTCACACAACAGGCCGCCAAAGGCAAGTTCCCAATATACCCAGCCGCATGTGTCACACATCATGGATATCATATGTTTTCCTTACTATTTCATATCTAGGCGCCGTCCTCGTCAATATCCTGACCATTGCTCAGCAGGGTCCCAAAGGGCACCATTCGCACTGTTCTAGCACTCACCCCAGCCTCCCAGGAGGCAGCTAGTCCGGTCTGTTCTATGCCCACTCCCCGACGGTCCCAGAAGGCGCCTTCCTCTCTTACCGAACCCATATCCACAGGGGTCCCACAAATGTGATAAATTCATGGTTTCCGGTCGGTCGGTAGTGCTCCACTCATCCAAACGGCGACGGTTATATTCCGAGGCCATCAACCGGCACTCCCAGACAATATGTGCCTTGGTGCCGTCACCTAGCACTCCCAGAGGCTCTCACCCAGCACTCCCAGAGGCTGTCACCCAGCACTCCAAGGGGCTCTCACCCAGCACTCCAAGAGATTCTCACCTAGCACTCCCAGGCGATAGTTGAGCGTGACCAGCACCACGTTCTCGTCCATGAAAAATCCCGGCCCGTAGTCGTCGGGGTCGCCGGAGTCGAAGAGGAACGCGCCGCCATGAATCCAAACCATGACGTCCAGCGGCTCAGTAGTGTCGGATGGCAACTGCAACGCAACGGCCGGAGAATCAGCATGGCAGTGTTGCCTTCAGTCGGGCGAAGAACCTGCATCCTGCATGTATTTTGCCGTGCTGTGAGACGTTATCTTTGCACTGGCATTGGGACTTGAGTACCATTTTTTATTAGAGAAACCCATGACTTAAATCACATGTAAGCATTGGAAGAGGATATGGGTCGGTGTCAGTGACTTTGTCGGTGAGCTCATTTCAGTAGCTATTCGCTATATTTCATTGTCTGTGTAATTTCAATAGCAGGAGTTATTCCTAATCACATTCGAATTTCCCCTTTCAAGCTACGAGTATACTATTTCTCCGACTCGAATAATGACTTCCTGACTCCAAATGACGGAGCTGTTTGATATGCAGCTAACCCTGCGCCCCTGCGGCGGGATCGTTTCAAGAGACCGCAGATAAATTGTATGAATAATAGACCCCATCATTCAGCCATTATGGAGTCCTCGCCTCAGCCCTGAAAGTGGATAACACCCTTGTGTCTGCTCCCAGAACTCAGAAGCCCCATCACGATCCACGGGCACAAGGACACCCAGGGGTCCGTGTCCTTTTTCGTTGCCATCACTCAGATGCAACTTCTGGCATGTCATTGGGGCTTGAGCCCTTTACTGATGCGCAATCACGGCTCATAATTGCACGTCAACTGATGAATGCCTATAGCCATGGTTGGGCATTAGCTGTATACTGTATAGGTCATTTCTTACCTTTGGCGTGTAGACGTTGAGGAACAGACAGTCCTCGTCGCCCTCGTACTGAACGAAGGACTGCGGACACACATTGCCCGTGGTGGTGGCGTCGAGAGTTCCTGACCACGGCTCGGCCGGCTCTGTGCGCTGTAACACGGGTCAGGGGACGGTCAGTGCGGTCCGCAGTGGCACAGCATGCAGCGTGCTACGTAGTCAACACTAAGACGGTTTCCTATTGCTTATTGTTGTTTAATTAACCCTCGCCCCGTTGGGGGGGGGGCATTTTGGCCCCCCCCCCCCTGTGGTTTTTCCTGAATAGCAATAAAACGGCGGCGCGCAGCGCCGCCAAATTTTCAGTACCTTCCCGGGCATTAATTTGACACCTTCACACCAAATTTCAAGTCTTAGGTGACCTTAGGTCATGAGTTATTGAGGTCAAACTGAGGTCATGTTCGAGCAAAAATGAGCAAAAAACATGCAATCTTGAAACGCTCACCAAATCTACAGTTATCAAGCAATTTCAAAGTTCTTTATATGGTCTAGTAGACAAAAAGCGGCGCTACAAAACTGCCATCTCGGATTTTCAAAATTTTGGGTTTTTGACCCCAAAAAATTCAAAAAATTGATTTTTTTGGGAAAAACTAAAAAATAATCCAAAATTTTTCCGAATTTCGAAAAAAAACCGGAATATATGTGATAGTCCCTGCGCTTTTCTATATACATACCAAATTTCAGATCGATATCTCGTTTTTTTGGCCAAGTTATAGCGAAAAAACTGTTCAAAAATGATGACGTCAAATTTTTGAACTCAATTTTTTAGCGATTCTAGACCACGTACGGCAAAACAAAGACCACCATTGAACTCCCCGTGACGAGCCGCATCGATTCGATACCTATTTTATGCAAAAATATTAACTTTGAAATTTGACCTTATTTGCCTGACCTTGACCTGACCTTAACCTGACCTTGACCAAAACGTGACCTAAGCTGTCCCCAAAGACTGCCTGACCCACATAATCGCATTCGTCATGTAAAATGGACCATAAAACACGTATCACACGACACTTTCATATTGTGACCCCCCGTGACCTGACCTCTGTGACCTGACCTGGTATCAGTGACCTCAGATAGCAAAATATGTGTTTGAAGAACATTTCCCCATCGATGATTTTCAATGAAATGCACTTTACTCGATTTTACAACGCATTTCTTGAAATGCCTGTATACGGTGAAAATTGGACCTTTGACCTGACCTGTGACGTCATCGGTTTGACCTAGGTCAATAAAATTGGGTCACAAGGTAGTTCCCTGATAGGGCTATCCAACACCGTTTGCCGCTTGTCGCTAGGTTGCGTGGTTCTCGAGATCTTAGGGGGGGGGGCCAAAATGCCCCCCTTCCCCCAACGGGGCGCGTTGCTCGGCAGAGCCCAACGGGGCGCGGGTTAAAAGGTGTTACATATATTATGCAGACCTTTCCGTTAAAGTGGGCGCTCGCGCTGGCATGTTTGATGCGGGAATCATGATCTGGCTGATGAAAGATCTGGCTGGAGGCATGAAGGCTTTGAGAAAATTGGAATATCGCCCCCATTACGATTATTTACATCTTCAAGAAGAAAATATTGGCGATATTATTTAAGAAAACCTGCACAAAACGAGTCCCCCCGGGGAGCCGGTCGGCGCGGTGACAGGTCGTCTTTAGACGGTGCGCCGTATGAAGAGTCCGCCCGGTGCCGGCCGGAGCCGGATCGCGCGGAGGCATCACCACTCTGCCGGAGAGCGGTGCCAATCGGCGGCAGACGGATCGATGTCGGGCCGAACAGACACCGCCCTATCAATTAGCTGGGCCCACAATCAGCGACCGACGGACTCCGGATGGAGGTGGACACCGGCCGTCCCTCAGACACACGCACACAGACAAACACACTCATCTTCCACCCTGCTTCCACATACACACACACAGGCACACGCACATGCACACATAAGGAAATAAACAAACACATCCATGCTCTTTCGATAGGATGATTATGCGATCTACGTAACACAACAAAACGAGCGATCAAGAATGCACGCTGAATTAACTCTCTTTCGAGAATCTATACAATGTCATATAAAAAGTTCGATCGCCTAAGGGAATGGAAACTTAGAACTCATCAGTCTTATAGCAACAGCCTCTATTTGGAATGTTTAGAAAAGCCGGAAAGTAAAGTAGCTGTAACCTCTTCTTACCCTGTAGTCAAGCGAAAAGAGCTTCGACGTCTATTTTATGAGACTAATTTGCAAATGTCCGTGAAGTTGGCGACGTCGCCAGCGACTTTTCCAGCGACGAGCACCGATTTTAGCCAAAACCTCGTCCAAGGTCAATTGGACCATGAGGATCACGAAAATCGAACCCATTCACCCCTAAACCTTGACCTTCAAGGTCAAATTCAAGGTCAAAGGACGGGGAACTGAAAAAGTGCCACTAAATATTGTCCGATTTTCAAAATTTTGGCACCAAAATGTAGCGCGTGCTAAGTTCTAGCCGCACATCGAAAACCATTTTCATCAAGGTCACACTTCAAGGTCAAATTCAAGGTCAAAGGACGGGGAACTGAAAAAGTGCCACTAAATATTGTCCGATATTCAAAATTTTGGCACCAAAATGTAGCGCGTGCAAAGTTCTAGCCGCACATCGAAAACCATTTTCATCAAGGTCAAACTTCAAGGTCAAATTCAAGGTCAAAGAACGGGGAACTTTAAAAATGCTACGTCACCAGCGACTTTTCCAGCGACGAGCACCGATTTTAGCCAAAACCTCGTCCAAGGTCAATTGGACCATGAGGATCACGAAAATCGAACCCATTCACCCATAAACCTTGACCTTCAAGGTCAAATTCAAGGTCAAAGGACGGGGAACTGAAAAAGTGCCACTAAATATTGTCCGATTTTCAAAATTTTGGCACCAAAATGTAGCACGTGCAAAGTTCTAGCCGCACATCGAAAACCATTTTCATCAAGGTCAAACTTCAAGGTCAAATTCAAGGTCAAAGGACGGGGAACTGAAAAAGTGCCACTAAATATTGTCCGATTTTCAAAATTTTGGCACCAAAATGTAGCGCGTGCAAAGTTCTAGCCGCACATCGAAAACCATTTTCATCAAGGTCAAACTTCAAGGTCAAATTCAAGGTCAAAGGACGGGGAACTGAAAAAGTGCCACTAGATATTGTCTGATCTTCAAAATTTTGGCACCAAAATGTAGCGCGTGCAAAGTTCTAGCCGCACATCGAAAACCATTTTCATCAAGGTCAAACTTCAAGGTCAAATTCAAGGTCAAAGGACGGGGAACTGAAAAAGTGCCACTAAATATTGTCCGATTTTCAAAATTTTTGCACCAAAATGTAGCGCGTGCAAAGTTCTAGCCGCACATCGAAAACCATTTTCATCAAGGTCAAACTTCAAGGTCAAATTCAAGGTCAAAGGACGGGGAACTGAAAAAGTGCCACTAAATATTGTCCGATCTTCAAAATTTTGGCACCAAAATGTAGCGCGTGCAAAGTTCTAGCCGCACATCGAAAACCATTTTCATTAAGGTCAAACTTCAAGGTCGAATTCAAGGTCAAAGAACGGGGAACTTTAAAAATGCTACGTCACCAGCGACTTTTCCAGCGACGAGCACCGATTTTAGCCAAAACCTCGTCCAAGGTCAATTGGACCATGAGAATCACGAAAATCGAACCCATTCACCCCTAAACCTTGACCTTCAAGGTCAAATTCAAGGTCAAAGGACGGGGAACTCAAAAAGTGCCACTAAATATTGTCCGATTTTCAAAATTTTGGCACCAAAATGTAGCGCGTGCAAAATTCTAGCCGCACATTGAAAACCATTTTCATCAAGGTCAAACTTCAAGGTCAAATTCAAGGTCAAAGGACGGGGAACTGAAAAAGTGCCACTAAATATTGTCCGATTTTCAAAATTTTGGCACCAAAATGTAGCGCGTGCAAAGTTCTAGCCGCACATCGAAAACCATTTTCATCAAGGTCAAACTTCAAGGTCAAATTCAAGGTCAAAGGACGGGGAACTGAAAAAGTGCCACTAAATATTGTCCGATATTCAAAATTTTGGCACCAAAATGTAGCGCGTGCAAAGTTCTAGCCGCACATCGAAAACCATTTTCATCAAGGTCAAACTTCAAGGTCAAATTCAAGGTCAAAGGACGGGGAACTGAAAAAGTGCCACTAAATATTGTCCGATTTTCAAAATTTTGGCACCAAAATGTAGCGCGTGCAAAGTTCTAGCCGCACATCGAAAACCATTTTCATCAAGGTCAAACTTCAAGGTCAAATTCAAGGTCAAAGGACGGGGAACTGAAAAAGTGCCACTAAATATTGTCCGATATTCAAAATTTTGGCACCAAAATGTAGCGCGTGCAAAGTTGTAGCCGCACATCGAAAACCATTTTCATCAAGGTCAAACTTCAAGGTCAAATTCAAGGTCAAAGGACGGGGAACTGAAAAAGTGCCACTAGATATTTTCCGATCTTCAAAATTTTGGCACCAAAATGTAGCGCGTGCAAAGTTCTAGCCGCACATCGAAAACCATTTTCATCAAGGTCAAACTTCAAGGTCAAATTCAAGGTCAAAGGACGGGGAACTGAAAAAGTGCCACTAAATATTGTCCGATCTTCAAAATTTTGGCACTAAAATGTAGCGCGTGCAAAGTTCTAGCCGCACATCGAAAACCATTTTCATCAAGGTCAAACTTCAAGGTCAAATTCAAGGTCAAAGGACGGGGAACTGAAAAAGTGCCACTAAATATTGTCCGATTTTCAAAATTTTGGCACCAAAATGTAGCGCGTGCAAAGTTCTAGCCGCACATCGAAAACCATTTTCATCAAGGTCAAACTTCAAGGTCAAATTCAAGGTCAAAGGACGGGGAACTGAAAAGGTGCCACTAAATATTGTCCGATCTTCAAAATTTTGGCACCAAAATGTAGCGCGTGCAAAGTTCTAGCCGCACATCGAAAACCATTTTCATCAAGGTCAAACTTCACGGTCAAATTCAAGGTCAAAGAACGGGGAACTTTAAAAATGCTACGTCACCAGCGACTTTTCCAGCGACGAGCACCGATTTTAGGCAAAACCTCGTTCAAGGTCAATTGGACCATGAG